CAGTTACAGTTAATCTGGCTGATGCCACAATTTACAGATTACACAAGAGTTGGGATTATTATTCGAATTCAGGAAAGATTTACTCTTATTAACAGCTAGCTTATGTTTATAAATTGAAGAAGAAGCTGTTCGACTAATACTATCAAGAATTTGGCTTCTTTTTTCTAAAAATTTATCCAATTCTGGTATTTCATTTGATGCGATAGTTTGTTCATATTGTTTTCTAGTTTCTCGATATACCTTTTTCAAAATGATGTTAAGCAAAAGTATGTCAGACAAATTATTACGATCAAAATTTAGAAGCTTTAAAGCTCTGATATTTTTCTTTAAAATATCTACCATGTTTCTAATATCTCCAGCTGATTCATTTGTAAGTTTTTCAATTTCCAAAATTTGATTTATGTAAGTCTCAGTGAGGAGACGTTTATTCTCAAATCTATTTTCTAATGCTTTTAAAAGTGACTCAAAAGAATCGTCAACAGTTTCCAGACGTTTAGCGTCGCCAAGCAATGACGCTTTCAAATAATACAGTTTTTGAGAGTCGTTTAAATCATTGTTTTTAGTTATAATGTTATCAAATTGCGATTTAAAATTGGGCCATTCGTCAAATTTACCATGAAATACCGGTAGTGGTATCTCGGGTAGTTTAATTTCTAGTTTTGTTTTCGAATCAGCCTGAGATTTTTCATTTTCACAATTAATTATTGAAGGTTTAATTATCAAAGAGTTAAGAATATCTTTAATTCTTACCTCCAAAGCTTCTAGTCTGTCTATTGTTCCTTCTAAATCAGTTTCTATTTCAGTTATCTCAGAGTCACTGATATCTTTTAGACCATAATATTGATCCTTCAGTTCATCTACTTTTTGATATAATTGTTCAACACGCTTAAGCTTGACTTCTAATTCAGTTGGATTAGGTTCCTTCGTTTGATCAATGAAAGTTTCTAATTTCGTTATGGTACCCATGCAGCATGAAGGGGCAAATAAACGTTAAAAATACGCTCGTTCGGTATAAGGTTTTGGACTTAACGTTAGAATTACGTCAATTTCACGTGATGATTTTCACCATTTCTTCATTCGTTAAAACGTATGCGTTAAAATGACGGTATTTTAACGCTATCAATTTTCCCTTTAAATATTTCGTTAAAAATGAGTACTAAAAATACGTTATATTAACGTGTAAATTTTACCCATTTTTTTACAGATTTTTAAAAACGTTTTATTAACGAAAAAGTGACGCTTTGTTGCATAGTTATGTTTACGTTAATTTTTTGGGATTATAAACGTAAATTCAACGGTAAAAATGTTTCTAAAAAAGGATGTGA